TAATTCAAGATTATGAATTTGATAGTTTCTCTCATGAACCTTAAGTTGTCTAAAAGCATAGGCTACCACCTTCCCATGTTGCATAAGCAAACCCTCTAAACCAACTCAGGATTTATCAAAATAAACAACAACGCCATTTGTACCCTCCGTAAAGTCAACACCGAAGAGAAAATAAGCCTATCTTTCAAGATTTGGAAGCTTCTCTCACAAGCCTCCAAACAATCAAATTTAATACTCTTTTGTATTAAAGTAGTTAAGGGAGATGCATTAAATGCAAAACCATCAACAAACCTCCTATAATAACGCGCTAGAACCAAGAAATTCCTAATGTCGGTAGGAGTCAATGGTCTAGGACAATTTTTTATTACCTCAGTTTTCCTTGGATCAACCTCAACTCACTCACTAGATTTAATATGACCAAGAAACTCCATTGACCTCAACCAAAACACACACTTTTTATGCTTGGAAAATAATTGACTCTCCTTAAGCACTTGCAACACCACCCTAAAATGGTTCATCTGATCACCCTCATTTTTCAAATATACAAATATGTTGTCAATGAAGACAATGACAAATGAATCTACGTACCTTCGAAACACCCAATTCATGACATCCATGTCATTGGGACATTTGTGAGAGCAAATGAAATTACTAGGAGCTCATAGTGACCATACTAGGCCAAAACGCCGTCTTTTCGTATATCCTTGATATATTGTGGTTTCAAGGTATTATTAATACGTTTCCCTTAAGTTTACTGTGTCCAAAAACTTTTTTGTCCTAATTTTTATATAAGTTTCTCTTTATTTGCAGGAAATCTTTCAAAAGATGAATGCGGAGGTTTGTGAGCGAAGAAATGAGGAAGAGACCACCTACGGAGCTTGTGATGGTGCGTCATGCTTGTGATGGTCCGTAGGTGGTAGCATAGTACAGCTACAGAAGGAAGATGGGGAAGACTGACAATGTATGGGGTTACGGAGTCCATGACGGTCCGTCGTGTCTATAACGGTCCGTATTGCAGGTTCATAATGAAGTTTAGAGAAGTAGTCCCAGTAACCATATTCAAAGAGTTTTAGTGTTTTTGAACGAAGACCCTCGGTGGACCGTTGTGCCTGTGACGAGTCGTCATACTTGACGTTGAGGGTAATAAATAGAGCAGCATAAGAAATTGTACAAGTATGGGACGACGGAGTCCATGACGGTCCGTCGTGACCAGGACGATCCGTCGCGAGGTCCGTCGACCCAGCCGCATTTTGAAAGATTTCTAACAAATAGAATCCTTGTTTACTTAGGATTTTATATTCTATAAATAGTTCGAAAAACCTCATTTCTGAGGTTAGACTCTGGATTATTTTGCTAGACCTTTGATTATCATTAGACTTTTTGTGAGATTCTTGATTACTTTGAGATTCTTGTAAGTGATTGTTGGTGATTTTTGTTGATTAATCAAGCAAACTTTTGGATTTTACTCTTTCTCATTGAAGTTAGTACATGAATTCTTATATCATATATTTGAATATTGCGATTATGACTATGGGTAACTAAACTCCATAACTAGGGTTGTGGGCAAATAATGCAATAAAACCTAACTAAATAATAATTCTAGAATAGTGTCTTGCATTTATTAATAATTCTTTCACTTTGAGGTCTTTTTAACGGATGGCCAACGTTAGAACTCGCCTTAATGCTACTTGTCAGACCAAGGAGGTAGATAATAGGTGAAGAATTATCAACATAGATTTAGTGTATACTATCTAATAGGCTAGTATTGATTTGTACGAGGTAATAACTTAGGCAAATATCGAATACGATGCTTAATATGAGGTAAAGGTAAGGGTTAGTATAGCAACACATGTAGCCGAACCAAGGTGCGGAGTTAAATTTTCTAGATGCTGGACCAACGATTTAGAAATACATAACTTATCACTTTGCATGCAAGATACTAGTAATGAATTGTTATAGTTAGAATTATTAAGTTATGAACTTGTGGGGAACACGTAAACCCTAGTTTCTTCGATTAATTGATTAAACTCCAACATTCAAAGTTGTTAAGTGTCTCTTTCAATTTCGTTAGTTATTTTCATTTATTTAGAAGTAGAAACCCCCCTTTTTTTTATTGTTTTTGCTTTCCAAGGAAGTAATTGACTGAACAGTACTAATAATAGATTGAAGTTAAGTCTAAACTATTTTCCTCGTAGGAACGATCCCAACCTTACTAGTTTGGTTATTTTCTTGACACGACCACTTTACTTCTTATTTGAGAAGTGAGTTTGAGTGTATCAATCCTCACCTCTCACCCTAATTTGGTGATACCCCAATCTCAAGTCAATTTTAAAAACGTAGCTTGCGTGTTGGAGTTGATAAAACATGTCGCCAATCCAAGGGAGAGGATACTTATTCTTAATAGTGAATCTATGATGTTCGAAATTATCAATACACATCCTAAGTTACCCATCCTTCTCATTCAAAAACAAAACCGGACAAACCCATGAAGAAATACTAGGTCAAATGAAGCCTTTGTCTTGTAAATATTTGAGTTAAGCCTTCAACTCTTTCAATTCCGTTGGAGCCATCGGATAAGGACAAATTGATATGTGATTTGTATACAGTAACAAGGCAATACCAAAATCAATTTCCTGTTCGGGATTAATACCAGGAAGATCATTACGGAAGACCATTGGAAATTCCCTTAGTACGGGGACCGACTCAATGGGAGGAATTTAAGTGTCTAAATCTTGGACTTTTACTATATGGTACAAACACCTTTAGAGATCACTTTTCATTCTTTCAAACAAGATATGATGCGACCTCTAGGAATATATTTCCCCCCTTCCATTTTCTAATGGGCTCATTTGGAAAGTTAAACTTCACCGCCCTTATTCTACAATCTATAGAGGCAAAACAAGCATGCATATAATCCATACCTAAAATGACATCAAAATCGAGCGTATCAAGTTCTACTAGTTCAATATAAGAAACTCTATCTGGAAAAATTATGGGACAATTTCTATAAGGCCTTTTTGCAAAAACTGACTTACCCACCGGGGTAGAAAATAAAAAAGGGTCATGCAAGATATTGAGAAAAATATAAGTTTTTATCTACTAGAGGAGTAAAATGATATTATAGCACCGGGATTAAGTAAGACATATACATAAATAGAGAAGACTTTCAAAATACTAGTCACCACATCGGGAGAATCTTTTGCTTAACCCTAGAGCAGAGAGCATAGAAGTGATTCTTCTTCGGAGCCTCTTTAACCCACTTACTAGAGCTTGACCACTACCCATGTCTTGACCCCTCAAACTAGGGCAATTCCTAACCTTCAGCCCAGTTTTACCACAGCCAAAATAATTATCCATTCCCTTAAAACAATCAACATACAACTTCTTGCCACACTTTTCACAAGTTTGCTTCTTGGTTGGCAAACAAGAATCTCATCCCTTAATAGCCTTAGGGTTAGACACCCTATCATCTCTAACCTAAGGGAACTTGGAAAGAACTTGATTAGACACCTTCTTCTGAAACCTAGGCTTGTCATGGATCTCAAGCCTTCCCTTTGAAGAACAACCATCAAAAGATCTTGCCCTCTTGGCATCTTTAATGTTCCTCTTAACCCCTGCATTTTCCACGTGTTGAGCATCAACCCTGAGACGAGAAATGTTCATATTGTCATGTCGTATGGCCGAATGACACTCCTCTTTCAAATCATCCGACGCCCTCGTCACAAAGCGGTTCATTTAATTTTTAGGGTCGGAAACCAAAGAAGGATAATATTTTGACAATTGAGTGAATTTCAAAGAGTATTCAATAACATTCATACCTGCTTGATGAAGTTTGATGAACTCCACCACATTGTCTCCCACTTCTTGCTAGTAAAGAACCTACCAAAAAAGCCTTCTTGAGAACTTCCCAATTCACCTGTCCACCCCTTAACAAACTATTGTCCCTCCAGTGGACATACCAAGTTTGGGCCACATTTTTTAGTTAATAAGTGGTTAACTCATCCTTTTTACTAGTAGACAACCCCATTACATAAAGTATATTGTAAACTTCATCAATGAACTCTTTGGGGTCTTCTTAAAACCTTGGACCCATAGAAAGTAGGAGGATCATCCTAGTTCAATCCCTTAGACGGGAGGCCATGGTATAAACTTGTTGGTGTGATCGGGGTACAACTTTTTAATTAGCTTGGGTTGTGATGGCTTGAGATTGAGTAGTGGAGGCTTGTGTTTGGGTTGTAATGGCATTGTCCATTTGGAAAAGAGCAAATTGTATGTCCTCATCCGTAAAAGGAGGAGTATTAACCCGGGCTTGGTCATCATTCAAATCATTGTCAAGAGGAGGAACTTGATCACAATGGGGAGGAACTCCTGCTTTCAAAATGTCTTCTTAAGACTTCATGCTGCATTTCTTTGAGAAATCATTCCCTATTATCACAATAAGAGGATTATATGTAAAAGCACAAAGACCTAACACTCCAAAAGGCGCCATATTGGACTTTTAAGAAAAGCAGGAGTTTCCTAAGCATCTTATATATTCCTATTCATAAGTGTGACGTGCTTAAAAATTATGAATATGAAATTACATACACGTGGTTGAGAAAGACATTGACTCAAAGATATTTAATCTCATGCTCTGGTACAAAGTTTGTCACATTCTGTAATACCCTTTAGACATAACCAGCGTCGTCGTCCTCTTTGATGAATAAGACTAGCCTCTTAGATTACATCATTAAATTCATAGGCCAAATTTAGCAGAAATTTTAAAACTATTCATTGCTTCTATGTCGAAACCGGCTTCGTTGACCTCTCAGAGGTCACAGACAAGCCTACATATGTCAACATTACATCATACAGGTTAATTATTAGCGGAAAATTTTAAACTTTAGTTTGCTTTGGAATATACATAGACATCATAGATAGAAATTAAATATATCACATCATTTTAACACAAGCATCTAACAATGAGATAACCAAATGAAGAAAGTTCATAAATGCATAAATATAAAGTTGCCAAAATGGCACCAACACAACGTCTGAAATAAGTAAGAAAGAAATGCTAGTGGAACACTTTCCACTAGCTCAGGGCTACATCTAATCTAGAATATAATATATAATCATCATCCAAAGCATGAGGGCCTACCATGTCCGGATGAATGCTCCATGTATGGATAGCTTCGATGTAGTCTCGTTAGCTCTAGCATCCACATGCACCGGTACCTAAACATATAGTACTGTATGGGATAAGTACACACCTGTACTAAGCATGGGTGTATGCAAGTACACACCAAGGACATGCATAATTAAGAGGAGCACTCTCCCAATGATATGAATTATTGAAAGCCAAGTCAGTTTGACATGCCAAATTGTATGAGGAAAGTCATGCTATGAGAGTAACATGCATCATCATTCTTTCCATATTGCACACAAAACATAACATATTTCATATAGCACATACATAAACCACATATCATTCGTTCATATGCCATGAGACCTTGAAATCATGAACCTAACATTTGGACTTCCCAAAAAATAAGAGTCAACATATGGGAGCTCAACTAGGGAGCCTTCTTTAGCAAACACAAAGTATGCTCCATTCATACATGCATACTTCATTTTGATTCGTTTCATTCATTCATAAGATGATATTTGTACCTAGGATTTAGTTCAAGACTCTCATCGGGTTCACTATAAAATGACCAAGAACGACCTAATGTCATTACTTGAGTCTAGTTCACCACTTGATTATCTTAACCAAACATCTTTGGTATTATTCATTTTGATATTATGCATTACTGGGTTGTTCTCATTCTTTATTTGTGAACTTTAACTTTTACCGACATAGAACATGTGAGCTCCATGAAATGTAGTGTCTACCCCACATAGAAAAGAGGTTGAATCAGCGGCCAAAGTAAAACCAAAATATGTAAGCGTATATAGGGAATTGAACCCTGCTAGATCCTATGTTGGCTGCATAGGTTCAAAGACTAGGATATATAAGGAGAACCATACCCGCCTAAATAGACAGTGTCATCTCATGAGATTTATACGAACCTCTACCATCCCAATATAAGGAATCGCGACTCATAGCTAGCCTATCAGAGCTTCGTATAAAGTTCCATTACATTCATCTCACACATCATAGAAGCTGGCTTCTAGCATGAGGACATCACTACTCATTAGATAATTTCTCATCTTATCATTAGTATTAAGTGTGTATTAATCTCAATATATTCATTAGAGTGTTTCGTAGAGATTGGTCTATCCTTTAAGTTTACACTCTCATAGGTTAGTACGTCATTGGTAACAATTACTTAGGCTCATCTAAAATTGATCTCATCTTTCACATTCTCCCCTTATGATGTTGTCACCATATTCATTAACTATAGCATATTATCTAATCATAATTACTCACCCCTTTTTACATTAATTTTCATTTCATTATATGACAATGTGCTAGGCCTTTTAGAGTGTTTCAAACCCTTACTTAACCCTCCGGGGGTCACATCAATTCATCACATACATCTTAGGTTTACTTACATTTAAGGTACGCTAGCCTTATGAACACATACGTACAAGCCATTAGGCTTCACTCATAATTTATATAAGTGACTTGTACTTACCCAAGATTATGTGGTACAAGACTTATGCATCTTGTAAGTATGCCAAGGTCTCAATTTTGATTCCTATAGGCAACATTCATCAAATATTTAATCACGTAAGACTTATGTGTCCATACAAAATTGGGCAAGGGAACCCTATTGCATATCCATTAAGCAAAACATAGTCCTATATTAAAGTTCTATTTAAAATTTCAGCTTGGGGACACGATTTCGAATCCCAACGCCTAAATTCCTTTTCTTACTTTTCTCTCTTTGACTTTTCTATTTTAGTCGGAGAGGATGTGGGATCTATTCCCGCAACCTCATTTTATTTTCCTTTAGTCTTTCTCCTAAGTTCCTCACCTATCTGAGAGGTTGTGGGTTTGATCCCCACATACCTCATTTTATTTTATTTTTCATTTTTCTCCTAACTCTTCACCTAAGACTTACCCCATTTTGAATCCCCCTTCCTCATTTTTATTATTGATTTTTTTAGCTTGTATATGGTGAGTCTTGGGTTCAATCTATAATGACCTCACATTAAAAAAAATTGAAATGCACCTCCCTCAACACTGCCCAACACGAGCCAAATTTTAAGATTTCTTGAAATTTTGTCATCTTTTCAATACCCATTTTCAACATTTATACAATAGATTTTTATGGAAAATTCATTAGTCATTTCATACATTTATCATATGCATTATTTCAAAGTAATTTTATACAAAAACACAAAGATATAAAGATGCCATTTTCATGCTCTGAACCATGCTCAAAAACACAGCTACACACACATTGCACAGATTTTCATCATTACATAAATCCAAACATAAATACACGTATATAATCATCATGAAAGAACGTTACATCCCTAAATTGTACCAGCAAACATACCCAACCTACAACAATCGATGGGATCTAGTGATAGGGACATGAAAAGTTCCTAGTTTTCGTATTAGAATTTGATTGAAACTTAGGGGTCTTTTTGGGAAAAAGATCAAGAGGAAGAAAACCCATACCTTTTCTCATTGTTTTATACACCTTTAAAATCAGATATCAAGTGCTTCCAACTCCCACGAAAAAAATTCTTCTCCAACAAAACTTACGCGCAAACTGTTAGAAATATGCTTTCGCTTTTCGTTTTTAGTTTATTTTTTTGTTTTGAGTTTCTGTGTGCATGTTGTTGAAGTGATGAACTTTGATTTTTTCATTATTAATTATGACAAGTAACGTGAGAAGAGAGTGGATAATGTCACGAGAATGGGAGAGGAGAGAGGTGAGTGTAAGTGTAGGAGTTTTAGTTGAAGACTAAGTGAAACTAGGACTCCTTGATTTACTTAAAAATCTGATTTTTAAGGTTTATTTGAATGAGTCATCATGACCTTACTTAAATCAAATTATTTATATTAATTAATTCAATTTATTATTGCTTCCACCAAGGATCGAACCCGAGTGAACCTTCACTCGCGAAAAAGGTCAAATTCGGGTAAACCCTACCCGAATTGTCTATTATTCACATTAATTAAATAAATATTTAGTGTAATTAAAATACTACCCTTATCCTCAAAAAGACCATTTTACCCCTAGACCCTCCAAATGTAAGATTACCCTTTTCAAGTTCAGTTAAGACTCATCCGGATGAATCTTAATTTTCGGGTGTCATATATGGTTAGACCCAACCTTGCCTTAGCTCAACTAAATAACCAAGTTGGTTGGCTTAGCTGGTACATGAGTTCTGAGGTCTGGTTCCACGCGCATCCATACGTGTCAACTCGGTCTAATCTTGGCATTTTAGGTACGCTTAGGCCTTACTTCGCATAATTATTTTTGGGTTATTACACTACCTCCCCCTCCTTATGAACATTTGTCCCCGAATGACACTACTCTTTACTAGAAACCGGTAAGTCCTGTATAGAACATCTACATACATAGGCAATTCAAAACTCTTTATTGGTGAATATATGATTCACATAATAACATGAAGCTGCACATCCTTGAAACCTACTAGCAGCTTTACATTGATAGACTAAGGAACTCTTTCCTAAATAGTCTCATCAAACCACACAACATAAGTAAACAAATTATTCACACAAATCAGCAACAAACATGACGACTCAACCACATTAACTTCATACCAGGTCATAAAACCATAAACAGTCAAACCCATGAAAGACTAATTAAGGATACGCACCCAAGACATCATCAGGAGTGTCTTCCCCTGCACCCCTAAACTTGTGTGCAAATAATCGTTGCCACCTTGGAGCCTCTTCACTTGGAAAATTCGGCTAAACTCTCTCCTTCCCTTTTTCTTGACCTCTCCTTTTCAGACAATCCTTCATCATGTGACCCGGTTTACCACAAATGTAACAAGCGTTAGAGACCATCAAACACTCTCCTCGATGCATCTTGCCACACTTTCTACAAGGAGGCCTCTCGTGAGGTGTATCTACTTCATTGTTTCTCTTAACTGTAGACTCGGAATCCCTATCACAGAGACCCATGAATGAACTTAAAAAACCTTGGTGGGAGAGTCCCTTCATAAACCTAGGATTATCAGTGATTTCAATACTACTCTTTCTTTAAAAAATTCTCTTCATCTTGCCTTGATCTTTTCCCTGCCCTAGTGTGCTTCCTCTTCCTGCTTTCTTCCACTTGCTGGACCTGGATCAAAGCCTTGAAAGGTGTAACGACCTGTTTAGTCGTTTTGAGCAACAAACTTCAATTCTGGAAAAACAGGCTGAGGCGACAGACCAAACGACGGACCGTCAAGGGCACGACAGACCGTCGCAGGGTCTCGTTTCAAAACACTTAGAAAATCTGAAATTGGGTACTGAAAATCGACTCTCTGAACTTCGTGACGGAATGGCAGGACAGACCGTCACAGGCATGACGGACCGTCACAGATTGTTCAGTGGAAGTTGACTCTCTGACCCTTGCGACGACCTGCAGGATGGACCGTCGCAGGCACGACGGCCCGTCATATGTTGCGCAAATTCCAGGCAGAATCGAATTTCCTTACACGTTTTAAGGGACATTTTTGGACTATTCTTTCCTTAATTATAGATTTCGTTGGTTTATATTAATAACTCAAATTCTTGGGGGTTAAAAGAGGTAACCCTAAGTTTATTAGTGGGGTATTATTGCCATCTTTTATTCTTAATTATATACTAATTAGGGTAAAAGAAAGAGGGTTTGAATAAGAAAATAGAAAGAACAAGAAGGGAGAGAGAGAAACGGTTGAGAAGAAGAGGAAAACACCAAGCTTTGAGGATTAACTTGCTTGATTTCAATTCTTCGGTGGAGGTAGGTTATGGTTTTCATGCTTCATAAGTAAACTCTTAATAGTGAATGATATGTATTGGTAGTATTGTAAACCCTACTATATGCTTAATGGTATGTTTGCATGAATATGATTATGTGATTGTGATAAGATAAGCATGATGAAAATATTGAATCCCAAATCTTGAGAAGAAACTTTAATATACATTGTTAATGATGATGCCTTGGTATAGAAGAAGGCTTGATGAATTAAAGTAATGGGATCGATAATGCCTTGGAATAGAGAAGGCTTGATGATTTACAGAATAGTATTAGTGGATCGGAGTGTCACGTTCTGACACA